TTTGCATTAGGTAGTTTAAGCCTACAGAGCTATGAGACTGTGACTTGAGAATCGCATTTATCTCTTGTCCATGTGGCAATCTCACTGGAAATGGCCGTCAGCAGGCACTGCTGTGCCTCAGGGTCATCAAGGGACCCAAGATCTTGCCAAGTCATTGCACTGACATTGTCTTCCATATGGTTGCTACTGGGTGCCCCACTTTTGGGTTCTGGCTGGTGAAAAGAGGAGAGAGTGTGAAAGAGGCGTGCCCAACACCTGCAGCCCAAGCTGGGAGGCAGCCCACGCTACTTCTGCCCCCACACTATGGCAGAACTTGGTCACACCTGACTGCAAGGGATGGTGGGGAGTGCAGTCTACCTGGGGGCCTGGGAAGTGAGGAAGAATGGAGCTTGGTTCACACATGCCGGTTATGCCACATCCTCACTTTCCTCTCCTCCCAGCCCCCTTAGGAATTTCACCACGGTTCATTGTAGTTTTAAATAATTTTGCATACATGTTATTTTGGGGAGCTGGATGACTTTTCACTAATCTTACCCCATGCCTTTATTCATTCAACAAACAACATCTGCATGCCTACAGACAGCTGCTGGACATAGAGAGGAAACAGGATCAATGATGAGGTATGGCCATTGCAAAGGGCCCTTTGACTGCCAATCCACTGATTTCCTTAGAGCATTCAAAACACAGCACAATAAGAATTCTCATGAGGCTGGCTCCACTCCCACCAGCCATAATCTGGCTTCTCTGAAGTTGAGGAATAAAGGGATGTAGAGTTTCCCATGCAAACCTCTGAATAAAGAGATGCCTGACCCAACCTCACATTCTTTCTTCCTCCGAGTCTGGCTTTGGAAGGACATGGGGAGCTGGCATGGGAGTGCCCAGAGATCTGCGGATGTTTTTACTTGGGATACCAGTGAAAACCAGAGTGATCCTGAAAATACTGAGCATTTATCAAAGTATCAAAGGATTTCCTGGCTGTGATGAAACTGACACAGCTCATTTCCTGGGCCTCATTGACCGGTGAGGAGCCCATGAGTGAAGCACCAGCATTTGAACCCTGCGCAGCGAAGGATTGAGAGGGGGTGATGGCTTTCAAAGGGTCATCTGCAGGGGCAGGCAGGGAAGAAGAGGGAACAGCAGCTCTTCAGGCTGGGAGAACCAGGAAAGGGGTGTGTTTGCAGATGCCTGGGCATGAGGACCACCTACTGCCTCCCTCTGCCTCCAACTATCAAATGTAAAGTGGGGGTTTTGCCACACCCCAGGTGTGGCTCCAACTTCCCAAAGCTTTAAAGAATGTCCACTTCACTCTTTTTAGAATTCCTGAATGATTCTTGTTTACCCAACCCAAGGCCTCCACAATTTGAACCGAATTTAGTAAGTATATTATGTGGATGTGATCTCCAAGGAAACTCGGCGCAGGAAGCAGGAGATGACAGCTGTGCTCCAGGCCCATGGCAGCCACCAGCAGCCCCCAACCTTGGACAAGCACCTCGGCAATCCTGGGAAAGGACTAAAGCTCAAGCTTGTGCCGGGCATTTTGTACATGTTTTCCCATTGGATCTTCACACTAAGTTGGCAAGGGAGATATATGATCCCCATTTGTTAAGTTAAGAAAGCTGAGCCTCAGCGAGGTAAAGTGATTTGCCCAAGGTTACACAGCGGGCAAGTGGCTACACCAGGTTCAATCCCAGCTCTGCCACTTTTGTCATCACCAGGCAAGGACTTCTGAGGCCCCTTCCAGCTCTGAGCTGGTAGAAAGGTGTGTGCCAGTCCTCCCATGCCCAGCCAGCTGGTTTCTCTTCCAGACGCCGCCTCCAAGCATGCCGCCCTGGGCTTCTTCGACTGCCTCCGAGCCGAAGTAGAAGAATATGACGTTGTTGTCAGCACTGTGATGCCAACTTTCATCCGGTCGTACCATGCTTATCCAGAGCAAGGAAACTGGGAAGCCTCCATTTGGAAATGTGAGATTTCAGGGGGAAGCTGCAAGCTCTTCCAGGGACTCTGGAAGAGTCTAGTTTTCTTGGGGCCAGGGTAGGGGGGACAGTTCCTGAGGTATGAGTTTGGGGATAGGGGGCCCTTGGTGACAGGCTCACAGCAGGGTGGGGGCCCCCAAACCTTCAGACTTGAGGCACTAAGTAGAGAAAGTCCTCACCTATGGCGGAGAGACCCCGCTCTGGCTCAGCTCGGGCACATAGGCTGCTCTGCAACCTCGCCCAGCAGCCACCTGTGTCTGAGCCTGCTCCCTGTGATGACAGCAGGATTCAGTGTGAAGATCCTCTCCACATGTCAGATGGGCAACATGGGCAGGCGCCGTGGTCACCCTGTGCCTCAGTTTCCTCTACAGAAAGGAGGAATAATAGCAATACCTCCCCACCTCACAGAGTTGTTGGGAGGACTGAAGGGTCTGCGTCCTAAAGGGTTTGGAATAGCAACCAGACCATCGCTGGTGCTATACAGATGCACCTTTGTAGTATCACTATCCCAGGACACTCTCAACCAGTGATTTTCAACTGCTGTGCCTCGGCATAGTATGCCATGAGAGGATCTTAGGTGTGCAGAGAAAACTTTTAAAGATCATTAAATTTTTTCCAAAGAAGTTCAAAGCATAGTAAATATATTCTTTTTTTACTCTTTGTTTTTTCATCAACATAATTGAAGTGTGCTGCAGAAGTTAAACTGCAGGTTCAAGTGTGCTGTGAGATTTTAAAAAAAAGGTTGGGACGGTGCCTGTGGCTCAAAGGAGTAGGGCGCTGGCCCCATATGCTGGAGGTGGTGGGTTCAAACGCAGCCCCCGCCAAAAAAAAAAAAGGTTGAAAAACACTGCCCTAAATGTAGAGATGACCCATCTTGCCCAAGGCTCTAGATCAACCTTGAGGAACCAGGATGCCAGTGTCCCAGGAGGCTCCTGACAGGCACAGCTTCCCAACCATTATAAAAACAGCCCCTTCATTCATCCAGCACCTTCCTATAATCTAAGCTTGTTCACACCCCTTCCACCACTGAGAACCTCCTTGCAAGGTTATCGGGGCAGGAAACCAGGCACAGGTGAAGAACTGGATGCCCACAGGGTGAAGTTTCTCCTCCAGGGTATTGTGGTCATCCCTGGGACCCCTGACTCCAGGGCTGACCCAACTTCTCGTCCTTGGGTGCACACGGGGTTCGGCCCAGCATGCTCCCTGCAGAGGCCACAACCCCCTCTCCCCACCTGGGCCTTTCAGTCTTTTTCAGGAAGCTGACCTATGGCGTGCACCCCGGGGAGGTGGCAGAGGAGGTGATGCGCACCGTGAGGCGGAAGAGGCAGGAGGTCCTCATGGCCAACGCTGTCCCCAAGGCCGCCGTGTTCATCCGCACCTTCTTCCCGGAGTTCTTTTTCGCCGTGGTGGCCTGTGGGGTGAAAGAGAAGCTGAATGTGCCAGTGGAGGGTTAACCGCGGGGGCCAAGTGGGTCACCCCAGGGGAATAAAGGTTTTCCTGGCTCTTCTGTCCTGTCCTTAGCCCCAGGGGGCCCAAGCAAGCCCTTCCCCTGTCTGAGATGGCTTTGTGGGAAACGTTCACAGGCAGTGAGGATGTCCTGGAGCTGGAAGCTTCTCTACTCTGTAGGGTGTTAACTGAGCTGGAAAACTGGAGCTGTAAGCATCTAACTCCCACATACAAGTCACTGTGGCCACTGGCCAGCTCAGAACTCACTCCGAACACCCCCTGCAGTTGATACAACATGAGCCGTGACCTCCCCAGGGCACCCTCCAACAACCGGAGCAGGACGGCACTGCTGCCCCGCTGAACTTCCGCAGGGATGAGAGGATCCTGTAATCTCCATTGTCCAGCGTGGCAGCCACTAGCCACCGTTGAGACTGAGCCCTTGTGAGGCCCTCTGTGTCTGGGATATAGAATTTTTTATTTTATTTAATTATAATTAATTTAAACCCAAATAGCCACCTGTGGCTAGCAGCTCCGGAGTTGGCCAAGGGACAGAATCGTCCCCTCCCACAGCCTGAGTTCTTTAGACCCACAGGGGGCCAGGCACAGATGAGCTGGTTTTCAGTTTTTAGCTGATTTGAACAAACATGAGAACTTCTGACCCAGGGGTTTTCTTCTGTTCCAGCCTTTTCTTTCATTCTCAGAACAAAACACATTTAAAACCGTCATCCTGGTTCCAGGCAGTGCTTTGCCTTCCTTTTTCTTATACAAAGCAGTAAATGATTTGGGGCCTTGTCCTATCCTAGGATGCTCTCGACCAGCGCTTTCCCCTGCTGTGCCATGAGAGGATCTTCTGTGTGCCAAGTGGAGGGTTCCTTTTTTGCACTAATATTGTCACTGTTGACTCAAACTTTTCTAATATTTATGGATGAACAAATGGGGGCGAACATTTCTTCCCTAAACCTACATCACTTTATAAATTAACATGTATAAGGAACATATATCCACACAAAAGCCTTCACTTAAAAAGCAAAATGCCAGCTCGGTGACCGTAGCTCACTGATTAGGGCGCCAGCCACATACACCAGAGATGGCGGGTTTGAACCCAGCCCGGAACTGCTAAACAACAACAGTGACAACCACCACCACCACAACAAAATAGCCAGGCAGTGTGGGGGGCACCTGGGGTCCCTGCTACTTGGGAGGCTGAGGTAAGAGGACACTTGAAACCAAGAGTTTGAAGTTGCTGTGAGCTAAGACTCCATGGCACTCTATGGAGGGCAACAAAGAGACTCTGTTGCAAAAAATAAAATAAAATAAAAAGAAAAGAAAAGAAAAATGCCCAGGATCACGTTATCGCCCTGGAGCCCAGCCTACAAGCTGAGGGTCTGTGCCTGAAGCAGGGAGGGTTCAGCAGGGTCAGCTAGGCAGAAGGTTAGCAGGCCCAAGTCGGTAAGGGAACTCTCTTTTGAGAGGTTTTGTTGTAGCTAATGGGTGGCGTGCCATAGGGGTGCTCAGGCCAGAGCCCACAGAGGGTGGGTGGGGGCGTCAAGGCCAAGAGAGCAAGAGGAAAGTGGCTGTGACTTGACTGGGGACCAGAGAAAAGGAACAGCAGCTTTGCGGTATGAGAGGCTAGAACCAGGGCCACAGGCTGCCAATCCTGGGGACCCGCCAGGGCTAGGCTCCAGGCCACATGAAGCAACAGAGCAGGAGGAAGGGCTCTCCCCTACAAGTTGGTCTGCTCAGGGGTGTCCCAAAGCAGAGGGAGGAGCAGAGGGAGGGCAGAGACTTGCAGGCGATGTAGCAAGTCTAACTGGCAGGCGTCCCACACACCCTCTCACTAAGTTTCCTGTTTATGGATTTTGGTCTCTGACCGAATGCTCCCTTTTGCATTCAGATGTCCCTGTATCATCTCAGGCGCATCACTCTCTTGGGATAGGGTATTTCACCTGCCTTGTAAATGGAAACCCAGAGCCCTGATATTGCAACTTGGGAGAGGGGAGAGGGCCTAAAAACATGTCATGCAATATGACAAATGTCCACCAGGTGGCACTGTGGTCCAAGCCTGTTTCCTGGCCAACCCTACAATAAGCCCTGTGGATCACAGCAGTGAGAACCCCCATAACCGCGCTCACAGTCGCCAGTGAACAACCCCTTCACGATTCCATGTGGCCTTCACATCAACCTGAATTCACTGGAAGGGCTGACAAATCCATTTTTCAGGTGAAAAAGCTGAGGGTGATCACGCCCTGTTAAATAAGACCCCTTGGAAGGTACGAGAGACGGGAAGGCTGGAATCCAGGTGCCAGCGACTGTCCCAGACCATGTGGCTCCCCCCCCACCACATGCTCAGAGTTGGGAGAGACAAAGTTGTTTTTCTTCTTTGCCACTGTCCCCCAGTCCCAGTATCTACAAAATTTTATAAATTGGAAAGAGTCAGAAAGCATAAAACAAATAAAGAGAAAAAACAGTCACATGCCCTGACAGCCACTGTTAACATCTTGGCCCTTTACAGGCAGCACATTGCTTGGAGCCAAGAGGCCACACAAATAAAGACACACTGCGGGGGATACCCAGTCTGCTCCATCCAGGGTCCCAGGGTCCCAAGGGGCAGACGCTGTGGAGGTCCCTGTGATTGGGCTCAGCCATGAGGGACAAGTGACAACAATAAATTTCTGTTGTTTTAAGCCACCACTTTGTGGTAATTTGTTATGGAAGCCCTGGAAAACTAATCCCTCCATCTGTTTCCAGCCTGGACCTTGACTGACACAGCTAACACAGACAAGAAATATGTGAGACTCCCTTGGGGAAATTCAAGAACCAGAGGAAATGAGCCAGTCCATCGTGGAGACACAAGTGTCCTTCTGGGGAACTTACTGAACCCAGAGAAATGATGATTGTGTAAGTCATCAGAGAACTAAACAGCTCCTAATTTATGGGCCCTACTTGTTCCAAAATTGTTAGTGGGAATTTCGGCACCAAAAAATGGAACCCCACTAGGGCTCAGTTATTATTTCCAGAATGTTCCAAGCAATTCTATTCAATGATATGTGTCTGACTACACATCAGCAGAGGACTTGGCCTCACAGGACAAGAAACTTTATGTAGAGAAAGAGTCAGAAAGCTTGAGAGCCTGGTTACAGGATGGTGTGATCAGTGTGGTAGGCTAGGCCTACGCAGGAGGGCAGACCCCCTGAAGTGGACCAACACCTACAACCAGCAAGATAGGGTCTGCCCGGCCAAGGAAAACCCACCAGCTGCCAGCCCTGCCCCTCCACCCTTCCTGCAAGTGGACAGTCTGCTCTGATACAGAGCTCCTCACAAGGGGGAATCTGTAGGTTGGTGGAGATACACCATGAGTGGACCATGGGCCACGCTGTTTGTCCCTGAGCTGACCATGTGGGTGTTTAGGAGGTGAGAAACCACATCACTTAGATGTTGGGGATTACAAGCAACCAGAACCCACTTCAAACCTGTATTCATTTAAATAACTGCAAAGGCTTATTTCAGGCATAGTCAGGTATCCAGACAGTGCCACCAGGATTCAGTTGTTTTTGCCACCTCTAGGCAACACATCCTACCATGTGGGCTTTACTCTCGGCAAGTTCTCTCCAACATCATGGCACGGGGACACCAAAGACCCTGGGTGCGTGAAGCCAAGTAGAAAGAGACTCCCCTTTCCTAATCCAGTAGACCCTCCATAGCTGACCACCTCCCTTCACTGACCACCTCCCTTCAGCTGACCTAATTTTCATGGACTAGACATGCGCCACATGTACATATCAGCACACTAGGCCTAATTCCTATGTTAACCACCTCCATACATTGACCAGTTCATTGCAGTCCCTTGGGTGGTCAACTTACAAAGTTTCTGCTATAGTTCAAACTAAAGCACTGATGGGTATGTGGCCATCTCAAAACAACCAACTCATGTCTGCCTGCTGGAAGACCAATATGGTCTTCTAAGAAGAAAGGGAGGACACAAACTTTTTAGGTAAAACAACTGTTCTTTTGAAATGTTTAGCCTTGGAGAAGGCAAGAGAACAAACATACACTGAGCATTCACAAAGCCCACCTGTCACTCGCCTTGTGCAGCACTCCCAGCAAGCCTCTAAGATACATGTTATTTCCATTTCCACCAATGAGGGAAACAGAGGCTCAGAAAGCTGGGTAGGTGATGTGGCCAAAGTCATATTCCCAGTCAATGGCAGAGCTGGGACTTTGAATGGGGGTGGCTGCATCGCTCACAGAGAAGATCGAGAAGCTGCCAGGCTTCCCCACCTTAGAGCTGGGTGAGGTTTCTCCATGCAGGGTCAGGTCAAGCACACCCTCCTGATGTGCCCTGATCAGCTGTGGTACTGGAGAAGCTTTAGGCTGCTTGAGTTACTTTAGTTACAAAAATAAGGGGCTCCCATCAGGCAGGCTGAGCTATGGTGGTGGAGTTTGGTCTGAACTAGGTAGTGCTCTGTTGGCACTGATGGGAATGTCCAGGTACATAAGCAACAGAGGAATCCGAAAGACTCAATTAACAGGCACTTTTGGTGCCCCATGTCCCAACCCCCTGCCCCTTCCCAGTTTCAGCAGTGGCCGTGGTGGAAGGTTCCCAAGCGTCTGACAGCATGCTACCTCATCTCTCTACTTTCCTATCTTGGGGTTTCTCTAAAGCACCAGGGTTCCTTCAGCCCTTGCGAGTGCAGTACAGCATTATAGGAAAGTTAACATCCCTAGGAGCGAGACAGGGCCTGGCAGACAATGCATCAAGCTCTCACCTTTTCACAGATAAATCTGAGGCACATTCTACGTGGTTCTGCATGGGGTGTGCCACAGGCCTGGGCCCAGCAGCTCACTAAAGCACACTTTGTCAGCTTTTTCTCTTTCCCTGTCCCACTCTCCCCGCGGCCTTGCTCCTGCTTCCTGGGGGATCACTTTCCCCATAACAGCCTCTTCCTCTTCCCAGCCCTTGCCTCAAGTTCTGCTTTTGGGAAAACCCCAAAGAAGACCAAAGACTTTTTGCAGATGGAATCATTAAAGGTAGACCAAATATTAGAGACTTGTAGTT